CTCGTTTCCCGCTGTGAACGGCGCCATATGCGTGACGTCTTCTGTTCGAGGCATAACGCACTGGTAAAAAAGGTCAACTGCTAACGGGTTGAATAGTGTCGAATACAATGTGAGTGCCCACGGCCGTGGCCTCTTATTGTTTATCCTGGTTCTCGTCTGCGCGGATTCAGCCGGAGGACGACCGCCACCAGTAACCCGGGCTCAGAGCTGCCGCGAGCGCCGCATGTCTGGTCTGGTAAGCGCGGCGGTGTGGGCAGATGCGGCGCAGTCAGTGGGCCGCTCGAGCCGACCCGCCTCCCAGAATCGGATGCCCATCCCCGCCAGTGATCGCAGGTGCACGTGACGCAAGGCAAACATTGCCCCCGGCCATCACACGGGCGTCTGACTCAGAGGCGCCGCCCAGCCCAACACGTGCACCAACTGACACCGGCGCTCTCCGTTCATGCTGCGAACAGAACGATCGAGATGTATAGTGCGATTCATTTTCGTTGCTTTGAAAAAGTTGATCTAGCTTCTGTTGACGGCGTGCAGCTCTGACTTCTTTTTACCCCGAAAACGTCGCCGCGCGCTGCTGTCTTTCTCTGCTGGGCGTTGCATCTGGTCCACACAACATCCGGCTGGTTGCACAGCCAATGGGCATCTTGCGTGATCCTGGATTGTTTGTCAACGAGTTTGTTGACTCGAGGGTTGATTCGTTTATGGAGTCGGCTTTGACTTGCGACGTCAGCTTTACAGCCAGCTTGGAGCATGGACTGGAAAATGCGCGCGCTGCGGAGCGCCTGCTCACGCGGTGTGTCGCGTGAAGAGCCGAGCGAGGATCTAGCGGCGGCGCGAGCGCGGTGTCACCCTGCCGATGACGGCGAGGATCTGGCGGCGGCCCGAGCGCGGTGTCGCCCTGCCGGTGACGTGAGCTGACAACACCTGACAGTGGCGCTCCGGCCCCGCCTCGGGCTGGGCCGGCCGGCGGCGCCTCCGTCCGGCGAGGGCTCAGGTTACCGGCGCCTGTTGCTCGGGGTCAAGGGCCGAGGGTCTCCGGCGGACGGGCGTGTTTAGCTTGGCAGCAGCCGGCCGCCGCGCCGCAGTGTCGGCCGCTGCGCCGGCTCGGCGCACCCACCACTCCGCTGCCGGCGGGGCGGGGCGAGGATGTGATGACGCCGGCCTGCCGTGTCGGTCAGCTGACCGCCGCGAGGGATGCCTTCGGGGCAGTTGTTTGGCCCGGGGGGTGACGTGCCGACCCCGAGCGAGTGCCAGGGAAGGGGGGGGGGGGGCTGTCGGACGCACACGGCACCACCTGCCGCGGGAGTGGACAGCCGTGGGGTGTATTCGCAGCGTACCAAAAATGTCCTTTTCTACGTGACGTCATGTACATCTTTGCCGGACATGTCCGCAGTGTGGCACGTGTTCTGTTGACATGTTCGTATCTATCGCAACAATAACAGCGCATGCAAACTCACAAAAAAACTGCGGTGCCACCTACAATCGAAGCTGCAAATTATGTCGTTTAACGCATAAAACACCTTTATATCAATGTTGGACTCTACGTGACGCCACGTCGAATCTTTGTCGTGCGGGTCGCTGCGAGGTGGCGAGTGGCGCCACGTCTCCACCCTTGGTCTGGGTGCTGGGGAGTGGGTTTTGACGAGGGTCATATTAGTGTATAACTGATCTAGGTTGTGTGCCTTGGATGATGGTACAGGCGTACGTTTTGGTAAACACATTCGGGGTTTATTTCCATCGTTTCAGAAATCGACACGATTTTTGTTTATGCGGCGTGTCCAGGTAGGACTATAATCGCATTGTACACCTTCCCGCTGATGAAGGATGGCTGGGCTGGTGTTGAACTGGCCCGCGCTGAACGGTAGTATTTTTATTTGGTGTAGTTGGCGGATGGAGCTTCCTTCCATTCAGCCCCCAATCGCACCACCACCGCGAAGAGGTCCCAAAAAGCAAACGGCGTTCTTTGGTGGGTTTCATGGCGTCTGATGAATGAACGATGTTTGGTTTGCCTGCTTCAGGCTAATTAGCTACCGCTTAGGTCAGGTCGGTCCCAATTTTTGAGAGCGTAACGAAAAATTGCAAGTTTCTGGAGCGTTAAGCCAAACTTGTTCAATCAGACATGCGCGGCATTGCGTTCTAAATAACATTCAATGCAAACGAATAGCCTAGTGTCGGCCTAAGTGCAGACAAACTTGCCATGGGTTATCTACCTCGCCTGACCTTGACAAGATTGGTTTGGGGCTATCCGGCTAGTCACCGATCAGTCGGCTTGGCACAGGGAGCGGCCGGCTGCACCGGCTAGCCGGCTGGTCACCAATCAATGGGCTTGGCGCAGGGAGCGGCCGGCTGCACCGGCTAGCCGGCTGGTCACCAATCAATGGGCTTGGCGCAGGGAGCGGCCGGCTGGTCACCAATCAGTGGGCTTGGCGCAGGGGGCGGCCGCCTGCATCAGTTATCCGGCCGTGCTGAGGTTGAGAGTCCGTTGAAAAATGTCTGCACACGTAAACGAATAGTGAATTTAAGGCGCAAACTCTAAATAGGTAATCATTGGGCCACGATCGCAAATTCCTACCGGGGCTAAATTATTACGATGTGACGTGCATTTCAGACACGTACACGTCAACCTTCATCCTATCGCAAAGCCGCTAGATGTTAACGGAGAAAGGTCTTTAAAAAGTATTAAGGATTTAAAAGGGCGGCATAAAACAACCAATTGGTTGTATCAGGAACAGGATGAAGTGTCGAATGAAGTGAAGTGATTTGTCATGGGCATTCTCTCAGGATTCATGGATTGACAGGGTACCGTGAGCAGGCCTGTGCTGCAGGGTGTCACTTTGTATACTCTGGCAAGGGCTGGACGCTTTCCCCCCATGCTGGCTTGAGCTCCTCAATGCCCTGTTGAGCCCCCGATGCATACAGAGGATTAATTTAGGTCAATGAAATGCAGCAAGTTGCACTGCTGGTACGCTAGGCACCTAAACATCACTGCCAATATCGTTATTATATAGCATGATTATCACTATCACGTCGGCTTTAAATGGGAAGTCGTTTTCAACATCCAAACAATTTTCGAACCGACCAAATCCTTTTAAAGTCTTGATTTTGACATCCGGGACGTAAATCAAACTGACCGAAATCAGGGAAGAAATGAGGATGTGGGATTAGGTTATGCCTATTTTATTGGCTCTGTCTCCCCAAAAAAGATTTTAGAGAGATATCCCTGCCCTGGTCACTGCTCTGTCCGGAAATACTTTGAAAAATTTCCAAGTCATGGGAGACCGCGGAAAATTTACCACGATTCCGAAAAGTCGACTTGGTCTTTGGCACATTGGGATGTGACGGAATTGATTTGATGGTGTTTAAAAACCTGGGAGTGACATTTTCCGCTACACATCCAAAAGTCGAGCCAATTTTTGGATGCTTCATTGGTCATCAGCCACCAGCTGGTCACAAAGTAGGTTTGCCGGCTAGTCGCTAGTCTCCGAACTGGCAAGCCGCCGACTCAAAAGCCGGCTAGTCACTAGTCTCCGAATTGGCAAGCCGCCGACTCGAAAGCCGGCTAAGTGCAGCCAACATTGACAAGGAGCGAACCTAATGAAAGTTACCTACCTGCTTGCCTGTGGACTATCGGTATGTCCTGATTCTGTCTGCTGCCTAAATGTACTTTTTATGCTAACGCCGCAAACAACCAGCATTTGCCGTTGAAGTGATTCTGCCAGCCATCAGGAAGGACGCCATGATTCAATAACCTGGCCTGAGCTAAGGAGCTGACGTCCCGCTGTCTTGCAAAACGTGTGCAATGCACGCATGTTCAGTCATGCCAAATGGCAGGACGCTGCCACCGGCCGTTTTTCGGTGCCTGCCATTGGCCATTGGCGCCTGCTCGTGGGCGAGAGCTAGATGGAGGAGGCTTTGCGTAATGCGTGTGACGTTCGCCCACGGCCACGTGCAGAGAGAGAGAGAGTCGTTGGTTCAGACTACTCTTCTAGTGCATGCTTTTGCCAGTCAGCAGCATTCGGTATGAAAGACTGAGACGGTGCTTTACCTGGCATGTTGAATATGTCGTTTATACCTCCCCACCAAAAGACGTTGATTTCCGCGTACTGACGGAGCTACTGACTGATTTCCACCCACTGCTTTCTGCCTTCTAACGGTACGGAGATGCAACTTTCCAATTAATTTTGATGTGAAATTGACCACTTTGTGTTTAAGACCAGTTTTAAGAACAAGGTCCAGCTTTTGAGCACTTCCACCGGGCTATAACGGCCTCACTTTTTCCTCCATCACAAGCTAACTTTTTGAACCGAATTGATTCGGGGGGCAAGTTTGTGCTAGTTTGGCTTCCAAGATAAGACTTACTGAAGGGGGTCGAAAGGCTTGGACAATGGTGCAGACGCAGCGAGGTGCCTGTGAAAATCGGGAACGTGGCATGCAGCTGAAGCCAGTGTTTAACAAACCGAGCTTACGCTCATTGGAAAGCACATGCGGTGGCACAAAACAGTAATGTACATATGACACCAAGATAAATAACTTTGATAATCCCAGGATGGTCACAGCAGTGGTCGTATGCTATGTGATACAGCATTTTTGGCCGGAAGGGGCTCAGTTCGGGTCCTGTTCAGCGCCGGTATCATTTCACTCTGCTGATTTCCAGGCGCCTCACTTGGCATTGGACGTGAAAATGTGATGTGACGTGGAAAATATTGTTTTTTTCGGCCAGGTGAAGTGAACCATCTCGATGTTGCACCGGTATTGCCCTGGGCTGATATCCATGTCGCGTCTCCCTGGGCATATATCGGCACCGGGTGTCCCTTGGCGTCTATTTATCGTGTCAGGATTTCCCTAGGCATCTGTTTATCATGCTGGGGTTTCCCTGGGCGTCTGTCGACGTGGGGTTCCCCTGAGCGTCTATCTCGCTGCCACCGCGCCGTTCTGTGTGGAGTGCACGGCATGACCGACCCTGTCGTCCCCCGCGCCTCCCTACGCTGTTCTCGTGCTGCCAGGTTCTTTACGTGTGCAAGATCAAGACCTCGCACCGGAAGGGCCCGCCATCGTTCATTGATGACGCGCTGCAGCAGTTTCACGAATACAAGAGGAAGACGGCCGGCCTGCAGGGCACGCTGCCCCACCGCGGCACGCCCGATGACGCCGAATACGTGCAGGTGGGCGCACACCGGCGGCGGGCACACGGGCAGAGGGGCCGCCTGTCGTGCGGATGCCTCGAAGAGCAGCTGATGCACGCAGGCGCCGCAAGGGCGCCGCTTGTGGCGGCAGGGCTGGCCCGGTCCTACTCAGTGTCCGCGTGACACCAGTGGCTAAGGCACCACGGATCAGAGGTGGAGTTGCCAGCTGTTGTTTGATCGGGTCGGCTGGCCGGTCCGCAGGCGATGTCTGGTGGTTCTCAGAGTAGCGCTCCAGTCCTTCCGTCTTGCACGAGGGAGACGCCTGTTGCGACCGTGCTAACCATCTCCTGCCCCGTGTCCTTCCCTTCCGCCGTGTAATTGCACAAATTCATACCCTTCGTTTGCTCCACTTATTCGCATTCTGCCTCACTGTTTCCCTTTAGCAGACGCCGTTCAGGCTGTGGACCGCCGTTGACGTGTGTGGCTGCGACGGCAGGGTGACCACTCGCTGCGCTCGGGCTCCACGGACTCTGTGAACAGCGTGGGCAGCGGGCACGGGGCGGCCGGCGGCGGTGGCGGCGGCGCTCTGCCCGGCGGCCCGGCCGAGCTGGCCGAGGAGGCGGCCGAGCCGGCTCGTCGGGTCACCGAGACGCTCTCAGAGGTGAGGGCGCCGTCACTGCTCCGCCAGCTCGTGTCACACTCGAGACCGAGCCAGCCACCTAAGCAGCGGGGTATGGCGTAAGTCCCCCAGCAGTGTTTCACAGCGACCACCGGCGGTGTGTACAAAGTCCCCCAGCAGTGTTTCACAGCGACCACCGGCGGTGTGTACAAAGCTTCTGACGTGGAGTTGTTTTTCTTGCGAAGCGAATGACGATACCGTTGGCTGCTGCTCTGAACGCGGTTTGTGTCTTCTGATCAGCTTGCTGTGGTTACATATGTCCGTCACCCGTATCAAGCGTCGGCGCATGGCTGGTACGACATTGCCACTGTTCGTCGTAAAGGCGTGAAGATGTTCGTTGTTCCGAATCTTGGCACGTTTGCCGTCCGACCAGTTAAGTCACCATGCACCGTGCTCGCTACGTTACAGAGCAAGCAGCCAGAGGCGCATCAGCCGATCATCTCAGCACGGGGCTGCGTGACCACTCACAGCCGTCACTGTATACCCTCCTCGTTCTGTGTGGGGCCAGCGGTGTGTCGTCCTGAGTCCAGGCTTTTCGGAGTGTCTACGGTGTCCTGTCTGGGGTTAGCAAAGCGCAGAGGAGCTCCGCACTGTATTCATGCTTCCACCGGCGTGGCTGGGTGAACGTCATGTCCCTGGCGTCCACCGAAAATGTCTGCCCTCACCGGGTTTCTAAGCCGGCGCCTTGTCCGCCCTGGTGTGGAAGTGCCTCGTCTTCTGTCGCTACGGTGGTACCTGTCAGCGCCCGTGTTGTAATGTTGTGTTTTGCATCGGCGGCTCGTGGGAAGCCTTGCATGCGATGGCGGACTGACGTGGCCATCGCGTTACCATTGGTCGACGTCGGTTTGTTCCGAACACTGCCTCCGCAAACGCTGCTGCTGCGCCTCCGCGTCAGCGAGAGTCGAGCTTTGTGTTCAATATCTGCCCCGATGTCTGCCTTCGCAACGTCGGACGGCTTTACGAGGGTCGGTGATCATTCTTGATGGTGCTTTCGAAAGCAACATCATCGTGTAAAATCATCCCCGATGCACGATGAGCCCGTTGTTCGTGCTATCAGTTACTTAGCGTCGTTGCTGAAGCTGATGTATATGCTCTCATTTGTTATTGTTCCATGTCACAATCCCATTGATGACATCATTGCGTTTACTAGTGAGGTGTCGGTGTAATGATCGCATTATCAGGGACTCTGGCTATTCCACAAGCTTCAGCCTTTTTCCTTCCTTGTATTGTCGGCCTTATGAACGCAGCTCCTCTTTTCTGTATCAATTGAAAATTTCCAGATATGTTGAACATCTCAGTCCTTATTTTTTGTTGCATGAAGCAGTTCCTTATTTTACCTGAGCTATGTCCAATTATTCCTGCCATGCTTATTTTCCCGGAAACACCAACGTTTCCCTGAATACTGGCTGCCAAGGGGTACGTCACACAAGTTGGGGAGGGCAGCGAAAATGACTAAGACTATCCTCAAGATACGAAACACGAGCTTTTCCCCAGATTTGGCCCGCTTTCATCTCAAAACTTTGGTTTCGGGACCCCCTCCAACTCTAAATAGGGAACTACACCCATGCTGGCTGTCAACCAGCAACTATGCCATGTGGTCCGAGGCCGCAGCAACATTGTCTTTTCCCAGGCACCGCATACGGTGCCGGTCCTGAGCGCCAGCCTGATTAAGTCTGAATTTGCCGCCGAGACAGCCGCAAACACGATGCCCTCGACCCTGCGGATGTAAACTAACATTCCGTCCGGATCGTCACAATATCTCAGGGCCGATTACCTTATCGCTTCCCCCGCTTTCCATCCGCAGACCCGCGCTCCCGCTCGCTCCATGTGTATGGACGGCTGTCCCGCGCCCTGCCGCCGCCGAACCACCCGCCGCTGACGACCGGCCCCCGCTCCCGGCCGCCGTCGCCGTCAGCGCTGATGACAGACTCCCGCGCCGCCACCGCCAGCGCTGACGGCCGATTCCCGCTCCCGGCCGCCGTCGCCGTCAGCGCTGACGACCGACCCGTTTCAGCCGTCAACGCCGATCGCGGTGCCCAAGATCGTGCAGATCCCGGCCACGCCGCAGTCGACGCCGTGCGACCGTCAGCTGTCGACGGTGGCCGAGTCGACCGAGCCCGACGGCGCCGGCCCGTCGTCGCCGGCGGCGGCGTCGGCCGGGCTGCCGCGCTCGGCGTCGGCCGACGGCGAGCCGGCCGAGCACGCCGGCGGCGCCTTCCGCTCGCGCGCCATGAGTGGCGACACGGCGCGCATGGTCCGTAGGTAAGACGCTGGCCCGTCAGGCAGGGCGTCGGCGGCGCTCAGAGGCCGGGCCGAACGGCGACCAGGGCGCCGTGGAAGGCGGGCTGAACACCGTCTCGGAGGCCCGGCGACGGATGTGTTGGGTTTTCGCAGGGACCAGGACCGGACATGAGCTGGGACCGATTCTTGACCGAACCGCAGGCGGGGTGGCGTGGCTGGATGCCGCCCGGTGACCCTACGTAGCGAGGCATCAGGTGAAGGGACTGGCCAGAGGGGGCGTGGCCCTGTGGCCGTCGGTGCTGGACGCCTCAGATTAGACAACAATGAATGTGGCCGCGGGGAGCCGTCCCCGTGCTGCGGCCGCGCGGACGTGGCAACTCATTCCGTATCCGACCGGGCTGCTGTCAGCACTGGAACGCACGTGATCACACCGCTGCTTGTTTGACCCCCGTCTCCGTATCCCGTACCTCAGTCGCATTGCCGATCGTGCTTTCATCTGCACAGTGCGTTGCTGGGCCTTAGCTGGCAGTGATTTTGTGCGGTCTCTAATGAGGTCAGCGCTTTTCCCAGAGGGCTATACGTACATCGATAGATAGGGGCTCTGCGCCAGAACTGTTTTGGTGGAGGGGCCGGCCAATGTACGAAAATGCTAATTTTGGTGTGCATCTCCTAACGTCGGTTGCAAGCTCACATGCATAGCGTTTATGCGATGATATGAAGCTTCTAGAATTGTTTGGCGCTCAAAGCTATATATTTTTGAGAGCTTGCGGGCTAAGATCGTCCTGTTAAACGCCAACTAGTTATGTTTCGAAGCGCGCAACAGTGTGGTCCTATTGCGTGTATTCAGGTTATGAACTTGGCTCAAGTTTGATCTCATACGCAAGCTACTCATTGCCGCGCACAATGCGTGCACATCGATGATGTCCACTCTGACACACGGTGGTTATGCTCAGTTCCGTGGAAGTTGACTGCTTGACAAAGGACGGGTGAGATTTTTTTTACCGTAGTAGATGCTGTCGATGGACCGGCACCGTTGATCAGTGTGGATTGTTACCGCATGATCTCCGTATGTCTTAAAACCTCCTTGTCCTTGTATCTAATATACTGTACCTGTCCTCGCTGTGCAAAGCACTGGCGATCCTGTGTTGCTGCTCTCGCTCCACGCTATACATATTATTATTCATCATCATCACGTGCCGTATTGGTCACGTGTCCGCACTGTCGTCTCCCAAAGTTGCCGTTTACGAACGGGACTCCCGGTAATGTGCTTGCCGCCTGCTCGTGGTTTGGACGCAGTACGGAGTCGGCCAGGCCCGTCGCTGTTTGCTCGCTGCCCGCGCTGCACGCCGGTTACAAGCGCCAGCCACCAGCCACTGCTGACCTTTGACATCGCAGCACCGCAGCTTGCGCAGTCCGATGTGTGTTTATGTCGACCTAGATTCGCGAGACAGCGATACACTTTTGGTATCGTATTTCGGCGAGATGGGAAGTGGATATGTCTGAACCACGTGTTTGCAAATATTCGGCTTTGATTCGCTATTAGACGATTCGATGCGCTCGTCTCTCTTCTTTGAAAAGCTGAGCGGCTAAATGGTTTCGCGGACGGCCAGAAGCTATGCATTATTTCGTTAATCAGGTCTAGTTCATTATATTAACAGTGACTGTTCATCGATTGGGTGTTGCGTTTGTCAACAGGCGTCCAGACCAATGTTGAGATCGACACAGCTGCTCATTTGTCCTCAGGCTATGACCGAACGAACCTGCTGAGGAAGAGGCCATGGTTCGACCTTACCTGATCTGAACTTACCTGCGTACAGCTATCTCACCAGAGCGAGTCTGCGCCAGGACGAGATAATAACTTGACCTGACCTAACCTGGCCTGACCTGACCTGCGTGCCGGTACCTCGCCAGGACGAATCTTTATCAGGACCAGCTAATGACTTGGCCTTACCTGACCTGACCTGACCCGCATGCTGGCTCTTCACCAGGACGAGTCTGCATCAGGATCAGATGATGACTTGACCCGACCTGACGTGACCTGACCTGCGTGCCGACACCCCGCCAGGACGAGTCTGCATCAGGACGAGGAGATGCGGAGCCGGGCCATGTCGGTCGGCTCGTCGCTGGCCCGCCGTCGGCTCAGCTCGCTGGACCACAACTACACGATGCTCTTCCAAGTGGGCAAGCTGGAGCTGCAGATGATCAGTCCCGACAACAAGGCTGTCAAGCTGCACAAGTACTTTAAGGACATCTCCCAGATCACTCAGGTACGTGCTTACCACTGGGAGTTAGGCTGGCGTCGGCCACCAGACAACGTATTTTTTCTCTATTTGTGCACATTGTATGTTGAATGCGAAGTTTGTTCTCAGCACACCTTCCATGCCGCACACCGCTGTGCAGTGCTGGACACTGTACGTCACCCGAGCGCAGGGAACGGACCCACCGGAGCACAGACTGTGACTTAGATGTGTGTTAGCGTCATGAGTTGGCACGTGTGTGCCGTGCTGTGAAGCAAATGCAGACAACTGTTTGGTTCTGAATGGTGGGATGGGATGTGCCGTTTGAAACACAGCCGCAGCGCTGCAGCATCACGCCATCCAGCCGCGCGGTGTGCGTGGCGGGGGTCGGTCGCAGCCGGATCATCTCAGCCAGTTTTCACGCGCAGGGGCAGAAGAACAGCGACCACTTCGGCTTCATCTGCCGCGAGACGCCGGCGGCCGCCGCGGCGCCGGCCGGGTCTGAGGGGTCGCAGGAGGCGCCCCGGGCCGGCCCCGGCGCCGCCATGCCACCCGCCGCCGGCCACAAGAGCGGATATGTCGGCTACATCTTCCGCTGCCAGAACGACAAGATCGCCGAGGACGTGATCAACAGTGCGTGACGCGTCAGCCTGTAATGGGAGTGTCCCGAGATACGAACAGGACTTTTGTTGTGCGTGAAGCTCCTGGACCCACAGACCCACGGGAAACTGTGGCGCAGCTTTTTTGTTGTCGGGTCATGGTCTTTGACCCTAAGGCTCGTGCTTCCTAATGCGAAAACGAAGCCGTCAGATGTACATTACCGACCACATTAGTCTCAGCTCGAAAATCCACCTACTTAGACGCGCGCTGGTTTGGCCTTTTGTAGAGGGACTCATACGCAGCACCCCCCTTCCCCCCGTCCCCACCTTCATGCATACCACAGCACCCAGACTGCGTCGATGGCGAGGGTCTCAGCGCGTCTGCCTCTCAAAGTGTATTGCCTCCTTCCACAGCGTTGACGCAGGCGTTCCGCAGCGCGTACGACGTGATCCGCCAGAGCAAGCGGCACAACCAGCAGCACTGCGACTACTGCCCGGCCAGCTGGTTCAACAAGCTGTGCGCCGAGCTGGACGGTCAGTCGGCCTACCGCGCGCCCCAATGGCGGCGCACCGGCGGCGGGCGACGGTGCGGCGCGCGGATGTTAGACATTGAGACGTGGTGTCGCAGTGCCCAGTTTCCTAATCTGTGCGGTCGTGCTGTGCTAGTTAGAGTCAGTGTTGGTGTGACAGGCCAAGGTGTGCGCCATGTGGCCATGCTATTAGATGACATGAACTGTGCCTGCAGAGATTTGCAGGACTACACCTTTGCCTAAGTCACCATTCTGCCCTTTACGTGCGCATATCACCATTGATCTATAGTGTTAAAGTTTATTATTTTGCGTATTTCGCCTACCACGACGTCCGTTTCAATATTCACAGGATGGCACAGCGTCCCGACCCCAGATTGCAGCAGCTCGCTTCACAACTGCCTTGCCGACGTGTGTTGAGTTTAGGAGTACGTTCAGGCTGTGTGGTCCCGCTCCGGTGGTCCTTTGACGGCGGCCCAGCCCGGGGTCCGGCAGGAGGTGCTCCCTCTCCCCGAGGCCGAGGCTGCAGGTCGTCTGACTGACCGGCCACCGTCCACGCCGCCGCAGGCCTCGGCCCAGAGGCGATTCAGGCCGTGATTGTGCGCGCGCTCGAGTGCCTGCCGGCCGAGGAGCGGCGCGAGCTGCTACTCAAGCTGAGCGGTGCGGAGGCCGTCGACGCCGCCGAGCAGAACGAGCTGCTCATGTCGCTGCTGCGGTTCCTCTGCGACGAGAAGCAGCGGAAGCACACGCACGTGCCGGCCGGCCAGCTGCCGCCGCTCGGGTGAGCCCCACCGGCGGACGGTGTGTCAGCTGCAGACAACGGCAGCCGGCCGGTTCCGGGCCGCGAGCGACACAAGCGGTCCTGAATCGTCGTGGCCGCTGCTGTCGCTGGCGCACCCTCCGGCCGGCCGGACTCGTCTCGTAGTCCTTCGTTCGAGGCACCGGGCGTGTTTCCCCGTTATCAGCGGGCGGGTCACGTGACTGCCACAGACTAACCGGAGCGAGCTGAAGGCTGTCCGTGTTCAAAGCCAGACCCACTGCGGCCTTGGCGAAGGATGTCAAACGAAACGCCTGCGCGCCCGAATTGGGAGTGTTCCAGCGCCGCGCTCAGTTGTGTTAGGCAAGTGCATGTGAGATCAGGAACTGCTCCTTGCAGTGAGAAAACAGTCCATCCAGTCTGGTGCAGTTTATCAATGCTCTTTAGATTGTTGACGACATGTGTTGCTTGTCTTGACGCGCTCCGGGGCAGCCCTTCCCCATGGTCTGGGGACCCGTCTTAAGCCGCCCTCCTGCGCCGTTGCAGCCACGACAGCTCCAACCTTCTCTTCGACCTCAGCTCAGGTTTGAACAAGGCGAAGCGGTCGCTGACCTCGCGGCTGGAGCAGGTGTGGAAGTACAACCGGGGCCGTGAGGAAACGAAGGAGAACAGCCAACCGGAGCATTTGGTGCTCCATCAGGTATAACAGCCAACCGGAGCATTTGGTGCGCCATCAGGTGTAGCTGCCAGCCGGAGCATCTGGTGCTCCATGAGTTAAAAATACCAACCGGAGCATCTGGTGCTCCACCAGGGATAAATTTCAGCCAGAGCATCTGGTGCTCCATCAGGGATAACTGCCAGCCGGAGCATCTGGTGCTCCATCAGGAATAACTGCCAGCCGGAGCATCTGGTGCTCCATCAGGGATAACTGCCAGCCGAAGCATCTGGTGCTCCATCAGGGATAAATGCCGGCCGGGGCATCTGGTGATCCATCAGAGATAACTGCCAGCCGGAGAGTCCGGTGCTCCATCCGGGATAACTTCTACCATTGCAGGGGCAGGTGGCGTTCAGGTTTCCTTTTGGGGCTCAAATCGTGTAGGAAAGTCGATGATTTGTTGTGCATTTAGTGACGATTATGTGTGGGACTCAATACTTCAAGTGATTTTATTGCGAAAGCAATGCTTACTTCCTGGGTGGAACCTCCATGTCCCCGCGTTAGCTGTTGTTGCAGATTGCGGTGTCTGATTCTGAGCGCAAAATGCCAAGTATTTTCATGTCGGCCTCCTCACCAGTAATTATGTGTTATATTGGCGTCACTGGGTTTTATAATACATCATCCTCCATCCTGCATCATCCTCCAGTTACATCACTGTTGGAACACATCCGCTCGCCGCTCGTGGCTGCTGCAGGGCCCGGCTAGGCCACAGACCAAGCCGGGCCCTGTGACTGAAGCGTGCAACTAAACCGGGCCCTGTGGCTGGCGCGTATAGCCAAACTGGGCCCTGTGGCTGGCGCGTGTAACCAAGCCAGGCCCTGTGGCTGGCGCGTATAGCCAAACCGGGCCCTGTGGCTGGCGCGTGTAACCAAGCCAGGCCCTGTGGCTGGAGTGTGTAGCCAAGCCGGGCCCTGTGGCTGGCGCGTGACTGACCGGTGTCGGTGCCGGTGGCGCAGCACTCCGCCAGCACCACGCCGGAAGGCTCGCCCTGCCCGACGCCCACCAAGGCCGAGTTCCGGTACGAGTACCCGGCCGACTCGCCGGTCGCCTCCCGACCGCGCAGCTCCACCATCGGTGAGTCATGACTCAGCGCGGTCGAGTCAGGGATCCGCCATTGGTCATCTACGGCTGCACTGATGGCGAGGGATGGGTGCAGTGGTGGTGACTGTCACGCTCCGCTGTCGAAGAGCAGGCTTCACCATTCGTTAGCGTGACAGATCCGCCAATGGTCAGCTGCTGTTACTGTTACGTTGATGCAAGGTGCCGTCGCGTCATGCCTCACCGTCCGACGTCCACAGCCTGATGACGAGTGTTCTTTGACGTTTCAGCGGGCAGCTCTGGCGAGGGGTATCGGCGAGAGTACCGCACGAGGAACCTGAACCAGGCGGCCCGCACCGACAGTCCCATGGTGGCCATGTAAGACCGCCTCAGTCGGACGGGGCGTGCGGGGACACCACACCTATTGCTCACCTGACAGCCTCAGTTCTTGTCTCGTTGCGATAGGGCTGTTCATTCTTTCTGGCATTTTGTTTAACGACTTCAATAGCCCCGCAGTGCATCACCATGAACTCTCACGCACCTTAAGTTTCGTAGCGCCCTCTTCCAATAAGTTCTGGGTTCTGTTCAAAGTTCTATCCTGTAAAGCAAAGTCCCGTACTTTATTGCTGATAGTTCGCCTATAATGCCGAAACTGCTGGTGAAACACTCTACGAAATCACAATTACACCTCCTGCCGACCGATGGGCTCTGCACCTAGGGTATTAACCTCCCCGTGTCAGCCTCCGCATCATGTGTTGGTCTCATGAGTCACATCACGTTCGGAGTTCTTCATTGCTTTCGGGCTGCGTGGGACGCGCGGTTGTGCCACGCCGCCATGGGTGGGGCAGTGGACGTCGGCCGACTCGTACGGTCACGTGGTATCCCCCCTCCCTTACCGTGCCCTTAACTGTCCCGCAGCTTCAAGCGGATGGGCAACAGCCCGCGCGCCGCCGACACTGGCCGGCCGGGCGGCGACGGTACGCCCCGGCACGCCAACGCCTCCTGGCGGCAGGCCATCTTCAACAGGATCCGCACTCCAGGTCAGTCCCGCGCCGCACCGCCCGCCGCTGGGTGGGTCACGGCCCGCTGTCGCTGGTCCTCCGCCGGTCCGCTGCCGGTCCTCTGCCGGTCCGCTGCTGGCTCTCCACTGGTCCGCTGCTGAACCGTCGCCGGTCCGCTGCTGGCCCTCCACCGGCGCGCGAGTGGCCAGCCTCCGGTCGGCGGCTTGCCCGTCACGTGTCCGCGACTGGTCTGCCGCTGGTCTTCTGGTCCGGCACTGATCCAATACCGGTCTACGAATAATGTGCTCCGCTGCTGGTCTGCCGCCGACGTCCGCTCAGCGCGCTGGTGGTTTATAAATCGTTCCTGCACTGATCTGCCTCTGGTACACGTCGGGACACTGGCGGTCTGTTACTGCGCCGCTCGAAGTCCTCCGCGTGGACCCCAGGCGGTCTGGGTTCACGCGCGGCCAGGCCACGCTCGTTCACTTAAACAGTGTTGCAACAGGGCGTCCGGAACAGTGCGTCGATTCATACCTTCCATGTCTTCCTTCCACTTTTCCTCATGACAATTGCTGTTCTTATCGGCTTGGCTGGGTATCACGGGTCTTTCCCATCCCCATCAATGCCCACAAGTGGTGTGTTTTGCACATATTGTCCTCACAGGGATTGCACAGGGTTCCGGCTGTTCGTGTTCTAGGAGACAGCATCTATACAATGCTCAGACAGGCACGAAGGGCTGAGGTGCTTGCGATATGCGCGTGTTCAAAAACACCATAACACCGTAACACCCTAACACCGTAACGATGTCAGTTATCGAATGCTGATCTCTTGAACTTTGAATCCCTTTGAGATCATCGTTAACGCTAGATGGATGGGAGTGTCGGCGGTTTGTCGCCGTCACTAGCCAATACACTGTCGCTGCTGTGAGAGCCGTGAGGGTGAGCGACGAACTGTGAAAGAATGGTGATGCCCCCTCTGAGCCTAGAGGGCAGGTAGGAAGACGTACAGAGGGAAGACGTTTATGATAGAGGGCGGACGTCCCTGTCACTGATGCTCATTAGTCTTCTCCGCGTTCTTCTGCGATGCTCGCGGCTGAGTCATGACATGCTTTTTGGTGAAGAGTGATCGGGAAACTGCAAAGGCTCGTAAATTCTGCCAATGATCATCAATTTTACAAAAATAATGGAATCCAAAATGTGATGCATGCTGTGCGAAGGCATCTTGGGTTTACGCGGCGGATGGCGACTGTGTTTTCTCAGTCATAGCCATGTCGCAACAACACGCTGTGTGACGCCGCGGTTAGAAAGCTTCAAGTTAGACACCGCTCAGATTCGCGAGTTAATGTGAATGACAGGTGTAACGGATCTGCTGTTTACGTGCAATCCATCTAAACGTCACCGCATTATTTGTGCTGTCATCTATTAAGTGCATTATTTTATGCGTTTCAAGGCCTTGGTTAGCCACGTAGACCGCTACCGCTTTAAGTTGTTGGGCGTCCCGGTGCGCTGCGCCAGTGAAGCCCGCGGTATCGGCCCTGACTACTCGGGCCATGGAGCATCGGCCTCGGAGCTGCTCTCCATGCGGTTGTCAACTCGCCAGCAGACAGCGTATCCCTGACTACTCGGGCTATGGAGCATCGGCCTCGGAGCTGCTCTCCACGCGGTTGTCAACTCGCCAGCAGACAGCGTATCCCTGACTACTCGGGCTATGGAGCATCGGCCTCGGAGCTGCTCTCCATGCGGTTGTCAACTCACCAGGAGACAGCGTATCCCTGACTACTCGGGCTATGGAGCATCGGCCTCGGAGCTGCTCTCCATGCCGTTGTCAACTCACCAGGAGACAGCGTATCCCTGACTACTCGGGCTATGGAGCATCGGCCTCGGAGCTGCTCTCCATGCGGTTGTCAACTCGCCAGCAGACAGCGTATCCCTGACTACTCGGGCTATGGAGCATCGGCCTCGGAGCTGCTCTCCATGCGGTTGTCAACTCACCAGGAGACAGCGCATGCGACGGTGTAGCTGCCGCCAATGTCAGCACGTCACACAGAACGTCTAGGGTCGTGTAAGCGGGGTCGAGTAACTGACGAGTGATTTAAAGGTACTGCAGTAATCTGCACGAAGTTTTTTTTCTCCCGGTAGCTTTTGGGTTTCGGAGTTCACATTGCCATCCAGTTGGGATATGGAGAAAGTGACGGCCCCTTGCAGAGCTCCACTATTTTTTATGTGCCTTTTTTATTCACATTTTGAACACCTCCAACATATAAATACATTAACACAGGCAGGCAAACCTTGTATGGAAATCAGAGGATCCTACCGTGTTGCATATGGAACGATAACACCAGGAGATCTGTTGCGCCATGGATACCAATGGGAAGTAAGATAGTTACGACTTAGTTGTAGCCGGCAGTCGCAGCGTAGGCAGGGGCGGGCTTGTAGGGAGGGGCGGGGTGGTACTGGGGGTACGTCGCCTCGCCCTGGTACGTGACATCAGCGACGTAGCCAGAGTAGGCATCACCAACGGTGTAGGTCACCGTCTGGGTGCGGCCGTCGGGAAGAACAACGGAGTAAGAGCCCTGGGTGCTGTAGCCATCGCGACCCTCCTGGGCGTTGAACTGCGGCTCGTAGTCTCCGTAGCCGTGCACGTCGTAGCTGAAGTCGTACTTGGCCGGCTGGTCGTAGCTCTGCTGGTGAGCTGGGGCGTAGCTGGGCTTGTGGTAGGCCGGGCTTGGGGCGTACGCTGACTGGTGGTGGGCCGGAGCGGCAGTGCTGTACGGCGCGCCGTCGGCGGCAGCAACGGCCAGCAGGGCGGTGACGAAGAAGACCTGGCGAAAATAAATTAGTGTAGTAGTGGTAACAGTCAACACTGTGCTGCAATGCATTTTCGCCTGCATTGTTGTACATGCGCTGCGATATATACTCGCTTTCACTTTCTTCGGTATGCTCCTAATACATCGGTGCCTCTTACCTTCATGATGGAGCTGTGAGATCCTTGGCGATCTGTGAACGTCTGATGCTTGTTGGTGGCGGTGCTGGTGTTTTATAGTCGCTGGCCTTCATCCACCACCGCTGGTGACCCTGCCCGGGGCGTCAGGCGGGGAGGGGTGTGACCGGTCGGCCTGTGTCCAGGCGTATGGGAGAGGCTGGGGATACCTCTCCTTGCACTGATTCTCAGACTTACGACATCGCGGTGGTTAAGCAGTAGTCCTGAGGTCTCTGGACAACCGGAGATTGGAGCGAACCGTATTATAACGCATACGAGTGTGTGTGCTGGCTGTTCTGATCATTAAGGTGCTGTGCTTATGGGACGTAAGTTAGACCACGCACCATTGCGCGGTGTGCATACACCCATGTCGGATATCGGTTGCGTCAGGTGTCATGTGCCGTGTCGTGGCACCTGCCCTGTCCTTGGCCAGCCAAGTCTTATTTGGCTCTTTATACAATCTTGCTATGAGGTCTGCTTTGTGCATACATTTTATAGCACAATGAAGCCATTTTAGTGGTTCGGGACAACAATTAATGGTGACTATACGGCACTGCACAACGTTTAATGCATTCTCAACGACTAATGCTCCATGTTCCCAATCATGTAGCATTCACTAGTCATCCCGTGAAATCCGTTTTCACCATGCACCGACTTGTTCTGTGGTAAGCGACCCTGTTTTTTAGGTCGGTGTTTTCCCATGTCGCGCTGTATCCGCCGTCGCCGAGTCACAATACATAGGCCGCAGAGATGGGTACACGTGCAAGGCCACATTTGTTTTTCTCCTGTACTAGCGCTGCAGCGCGAAAGAAGGTAGGCTTTTCAAGGATGCAGAGAAAAGCTCAGATGGTTATATGTTGCGATCGTTTAGTGGCGTGACTTCGAAACCTCCAAAACTGTGTATCGCCTTGTCTCCTGAAACAACGCAACGTATGTTCACTGCATTCCTTACAGTGCAGATCAGTATTTTTTTTTTGTTCACGTTCAGCGGGATGATCTTAGCCCCGCCAGTGATCCTCTTATCAGGTCTGTCATGATCTCATTAGTATTCCACGTTACCAAATCTCAGTCGTACGCTGCACATTGCTTCCAGCGCCTTTCGAACAGCCTTTGTCGGGTTTGTTACCCTTTGGTTCGGGATTGGCTGACAGAGTGTGGGCTGGAGCTCCTCAAGCGCCTTTGAAACAGCTTTTGTCAGCTTTTGTATCCTATGATCTAGGATTGATTGCCAAAGTGTGATGGACCAGCTGAATCGTTCCCGGGTCTGTAGTTTTATTGAAGTCGGTTGGTCTCAAGCTGTGAACATCCACACATGGACCGTGAGCCTATGTACATCACGCAATACATGCAATGTTTAAAAAGTAAGGCATGGCCTCAACATACTAAATTTGTACTTATGTTTTACTAATCGGAAGACAAAACAATGACCAGAGGCTGAAAGCTTGTCTGTTTTTGGCCTCTTCACTTATGAGTGAAGAAATACATTATTTGACGTGTTAAAGATCATTCCTTTCTTTTCAATGTCGCCAATGCCATACCACCATCCGATGTTAAAACGAAAGATACCCCATGCGGGTCCGCATTGAAAATACGCGAATTTGAGGACGTATTTAACTCCGCGACTCCGACCTGTGCGTCCATTGACATATCAGGCAATCGAAGCGCCAGCCCGTCAGCACCATCCAAAACTTACCCTCGGTGTGTTTTTGTATAATATTTTGGCCCGATTGTTTTACAGGGAATCCCTTGGAATACGAGTCCTTGTCGATCGTGTTGCATATAGTTTGGTGCTTCTACTCTTCTGATACACAATTCTTTGATACAGAAATAATGTATCAGGCATGTGCCGAGTTGTCAATTTTTAAAAGAAAATATTATCAGTGGGGCGGCTTACTTGAGCGGATTAATAAGCACCACGGAGTCCAGTTTTATTTTAATTGCAGGCTACCCCACAACGGGAATATTAAGTGCTCGGTTCATAGACAGCATATGAGTACGACATGTCGGCTGTGCGTTTAAGTCCTTGTTTGACGCGCATACGGCATGGTGCGGCCGTGAGGTGAGTGTCTTATTTTCTCACCATTGCTCACCGTTCTGTTCCCGCTCTTCTCCGATGTCATCACCTGGCCGCCAAGCGGTTTTGTATGCATGCCTTCAAAACGTCAAACAGTCCACTGGGGGAGGCTGCCGCTATTTCATCGAGTCAGCGTCATTAATGCAGAACCTGTGCAGATGGAATCGAACGGACTGACCAGTGAGGGTGGTGGTTGGTGCATGCAAGGCGTTGGCGATATCAGTTGCTAAGTAACTAACCGGTGCCACACCATCCAGTCACGGACCCCCTGCTCTGATTCGATTGGGATCTGTTGGTGGCGACTGAACTTTCTCCATCAACTGCTAGTGATTGTGGATTCAGCCGATCATAGCTGCTGGTTATTCGTTGTTTTTGTATTTACATCTCGCACGCATCCAGCATATGAATACGCATCACGGTTAAACGACTATCCCTCTGTGACGAACCCTATCTCCTTCGATGGAATGGAATCGGAACATCTGGTAGACTATGAGTAGCATTTGATACCAATGAGCTGAGGCTTAGGTGTACCTGGGAGTGGCGCCATAGGTGGGAGCAGGCTTGTAGGTGGAGGCAGGCTTGTACGCAGGGGCGGGCTTGTAGGCGGGGGCGGCCTTGTAGGCAGGGGCTGTCTTGTAGGCAGAGGCGGCCTTGTAGGCGGGTTGAGCCTTGTAGGCAGCGGCGGCAGCCTTGTAGGCAGGGGCGGGGTTGTACGCAGGGGCGGGATGGTAGTCGGGGAACGTGGCCTCACCCTCGTACGTGACGTCAGCGACGTAGCCGGAGTAGGCATCGGCAACGGTGTAGGTCACCTTCTGGGTACGGCCGTCGGGGAGGACAACGGAGTAAGAGCCCTGGGTGTTGTAGCCATCACGGCCCTCCTGGGCGATGAACTGGGGCTCGTAGTCTCCGTGGCCGTGGACGTCGTAGTTGAAGTCGTACTTTGGCGGCTGGTCGTAGCTCTGCTGGTGGGCCGGGGCGTAGCTGGGCTTGTGGTAGGCCGGGGCCGGGGCGTAGGTGGGCTTGTGGTAGGCCGGGGTGGCAGTGCTGTACGGTGCGTTTTCGGCGGCGGCAATGGCCAGCAGGGCGGCGGCGAAGAAGACCTGGCGGAAGAAACTTTGTGTAAATAATGCTCACAGTCAGCATTGTACTGCAATGCATTCTCGTATGTATTGTTCATGCGCAAGTTGTATACACGCTTTCACTTTCTTCGGCATGCTCCCAATGCATCGGTGCCTCTTGCCTTCATGATGGAGCTGTGAGATGCCTGGGGATCTGTGGGCGTCTGATGTCTGTTGATGACGGTGCTGGTGTTATATATTAGCCGACCGGCGTCCACCACCGCTGGTGACCCTGCCCGTGGCGACAGGCGGGGATGGGCGTGACCGGCCGTGCCGTGTGCCAGTGGGTGTGGGTCGAGCACTGGAGCACTCAGTGCCGTCACTATCAGCTGGTGCTCAGTTGTCGTTCAGTGGAATGAATTGTTGCGTTGCTATGCTCAGATAGAAACGGACTCTCGGACAAAAACGAAGATTCAACGGTATCGTTGGCGCAACTTATGGGGGTGTGGCTAAAGATACTTAGTTTCGTTTTGAATCGGCGTGGATATATTGAACATTGAACCTGCCATTACCATGGCCCGGGCGCAATGTCATGGATAAACCCATAAAATTAAATGCAAGAAATTATAAAAATTAGTTGCATAGTACCAGCAGTCGATACATTTCAGCACGAACCACGCTAATGCTGGTTCCCGAAAGTAGATTTTGTTAATACCAGGCTGTCTCATGTACTATTTCTAAATCTTTTGTCAAGTATCTGAAATTGCGGGCGTTCGCGAATTCCTATTCGCGTTGGGGGAACTGGATTCTAGTTTTTTTTTTAGGATGGCAGGCCAGAACGATTTTCTCCCGAAGCCTGAATTTATGCTGGCGCGGAGCAAGACCCCCAACATGTGAAGGGCCACGATATAATGGTGGTCTGATGTTTCCTTGGCACAGATGTCTGTTGCTATTAGAGGTAAAAATAAACTAATCGAAAATGTAATGTGTTACGCCTCACCAGGAATGCAGCGCGCCTGCGGTGCGTTAACCTGGGCGTTCGTCTCAAACGTTTGATTTGTATGTCCCGCGGCAAACTCCCGCGTACGCCCCCGTGACTGACCGGTGCTGCGCTGTGATCCGGTGAAATCTTTGATATCACTCCCTGAGGTTGATTAGGTCAAAATTCAATCTTTCGAACGCGACTCAATCATCAGATATACTTCTTTAATCTATATACTAGTATGTAGGCATGCAACGAGAAGAGAGCTTTTATTAACGCAACTGCATCTTGCGCGGAGAAGGAACCCCAGGACCCTACGCTGACATGAAGAAACAAGACCTAATGCCAGCAGTCCACATCAATGGCATGCGCACTCTTACACAATCCAACATTTTCTTCACAACACAGACCACTTTCAACGCATGCCCGGCTGGCCGGTTGAGTGCCACGAGCTTTGGTGGGAGTGGACATTGAGCCCCCTGAGATCTCAAAAAGGAAGCGTGCTAAACACTGCAGAATGAACAAGGGCGTGGGCGTGTAAATGTCTTCAACATTTCCTTATCTTGAGGCATGTAAATCGTGGCTTTAGGGTCAAACGAGCTCGGAGAAGGTAAAACTCTAGATTGATGTGCATGGTGGCCTCAGATCTTCCCGTGCACCCAACTGTACTCTAGTTATCTCTCCTAAGCAAATTACTAATGTCGTTTATTATCTCAGGTCAGCGGCCTCATTTTACCTTCAGAGGA